ATTGTTTCCTGTCACTGTTTCCATGGTGAGTTGCAGTTGGGGCTCAAAATCACCAGCTGCCTGCAGGGGACTGATAAGGCTTTCTATTCCAGTAAAGTTTTACAGTCTCAGAAATCCACAAGAGCAGTTCTACTCTCTCCTATACGGTCACTCTGAGTAAGGCTTGATTTGATAGACAGGGAGTTAATAGGCTGTTAGTTACAGGAAGGCAAGGAGCAGTTGCTACCTTTGTAGAATGCATTAAAAAAGAGCAGAAAAATGAATTCTTAGTGCTTCCTATGAATTAGTACTGAGCAGGGATAGAAATATTCTTCGTATCATGGTGTCGTCCTTTGAATGTCTTCAGAAAAATTTCTTTCTGGGATTTATTTCCAAAATAGTTCTGACAACGTAAACCAAAGTTTACATATTTTTAAAAAACCATTTAAAAAATACAGTAAAAAAGAATCATTTAATTTAAAAGTAAGGAGATGAAACCTTTCCTGAGTCCTTGGTATGTGCCAGGAATACTTGTCCAACTTAGTTTGAGTTGAAAGAGTTAAGTGCTGGCGTTGGAACTTCTGCCCACTGTGTGTAATGCAAAGACCCATGCTTGAAACAACTAGGTTAGCTGCAGTTTCCTCTTACGGATAACGTGACTTGGGTAAATGTTTCCATTACCCTTCTCACATTCAATATTATAACATAGAGCCAAGAGAAGCCATTGAGCTGTGCACTTACAATGTGTAAACTTTTATGTATTTAAAGCATGCTTCAATAGTAGGTTTACATGAAGGGCAAACAAAATAATTTAGAGCTAAATTTGTGCTAAGCTGTACAGTGGTATACTTTATATATACGTTTTCTTTTTTTTGACCTTATTTGGTAGCTTTTTATCAGAGTTGAGTAGTATTCTTTTTTATATGTCTTCTCTTCTGTTTGATAGTATTATTATTTGGTAGCTTTTTATTGTGATCTGGGTAGAAATTCATGGAGCAAATCGGTTTTCCTTTCAACAATTCAAACACATTCTGATTCATGATCTTCATTGGTGGCAATCCCACATGGGAACAGCACTCTTCCCATTTCCCCCGTGTGTTCCCCATTTCCAAGGCTCTTCTTTCCCACCTCTTCCTGCCTTCTGAGCTTCATCCCTTGGCAAATGCTACCCTATTGATCTCATAAGGCTGATTGTTCTAACAGGTGTACATCTTCTGGTGTCATATTGTTCACCTTATAGGACTGTCTATTGTTCAGCTTGAAGCTGAATCACGGGGATATCTTAAGTTTCAGGCCTGAAGAAGGGTGACTAAGGGCCACTGGGGATGGGGGTGGGGTTTCAATCAGTATCTGTCAGACCAGTATGACCTGTCTTTATTTTGGCCACTCACAAATTTTGTTTTGTTCTGCATTTTGCTCCTATTCTATCCAGGACCTTCTACTGTGACCCCTTTCAGACCAGTTGGAAGAGGTAGCATGGTATTATTTAGCTCTTTTGGGTTTAGGGCTGTGAATGCTACCATTTATATGGATTAAAAACAAACAAATAAATTAATTAAAATTTTAAAAAGATTTATGTGGATTAATCCTTTGGATTAATTCTTTTCAGGTGTCTTTGCTATTCTTCATTCTTTGCTTCAGACTGGGAGAGACCATCAGTTGGACCTTAGACAGCCCCTCACAAGCATTGAGGACCCCAGGCACTAGTTATTGAAGTAGACTGTAGACCATTATATGCATGATGCTATGCCCGTTGACCGGTGTGTGTCCTAATCCTGTAGTCCTAAACCCAGTTTTCTTCTTAAATAAAAGCATTATTTAAGAAAGAAAAACAAAAACACAACTTAAAGCTAGATTTGTTACAAGTAGAGAAGGCTTGAACTGTGAACCTTTAATGGCTATCAGTCATATTTCTAACTGTACTTTATGCTCTTTCTTTTCCTCTCTTACTTATTTAATCTTTATGCTTACTTTTGTATTTATATTTGTAGACTGAAAATACCATTTTCAGATAAAACACAGAATAAGAATTATGAACATACCTGACTTTAGAATCCCCAACTGTAGGTAATAATTATTCATAATATTCATACAAATAACTCACATAATTCTAGATTATAGCTTAATTTTGAGTAATTGAAAGAAAAAAACCAAAGAATTGATCAAGTTAAACAGATTTGGTCACCCCATTCTGTTCACTCTGTCCTTGAAATTCCCAAATTCTCTTTCTTCGTTCTTACTGTCGTGCATATCATCTATTATCTGGGGTACTGGACCAAAACCAAAGACCAGTGCTACGAAGTTAACTCCTATTCATAGTGACCCTATCAGGCAGAGTAGAACTGCTATTTGATTCCTGAGGCTGTAAATCTTCTCAGGGACTGATAGTCCCATTTTTCTCCCACATAGCAAGGTGGGGCAGGGAACGGGGTGAGGTAGTTTTAACTGCCGGTGCTTAACCTACTGGGCCACCAGGGTTCCTTGGGCTACTCCCTCTTACCAAGCCCTCGTTATACTATCCAGTCACTTTGACAGATCTGATTTTACCACTGCCTATTCCTTTGTTACACAGAGATATGTAATTCCTTTTGAAAAGTCACTACATTATTTTTAGATTATTGCTTCACCATTGACAATCAATCTTTAAAGGCTTAAGCTATCAAGGGCTGCTCCAATTTGTCCTCAAAAGAAATTGGGTGGGCTGCTGCAGACAATAATAGAATATGTGACCAGCTGAGTTTCTGACTAAGGAAAACAAATCAGGTCACAGGGCTGAGCCACAGTACACAAGCTCTGTCTCATAATATGCTACAAGACCTGGGACAAGTCGCCTTATCTCTTCACCTACATAACTAAAGTCTCTTCAGGCTCCAAGGTCCTAACGGCTTTACTCAAAGAGACAAATGGTGGCACTCTGGGATAAGCATTGGACTGCTAAATTCCAAGTGGACAGTTCAAATCCACCAGATGCCCCAAAAGACAAAGATGAGGTTCTCTGCTACTGTAAAGATTTACAGCCTCAGAAACCCTGTGGTGCAATTCTACTCTGCAAATAGAGTTGCTATGAGTTGAAATTAACTTGATAGCAGTGGATATGAATTATGGAAAACTAAGTAAGTTAATGTTTATAAAGAGCTTAGCAAAACTTATAAGGTCTATACGCATTTGTTATGTAAACAAAGTATCAATTTTCTTTGTGAGACTTTTCAAATGTAGTTATGTCCATTTTCTTTTCAGTTGAGGTCCCTATTATTTCATTTACCATCAAACTCATCACTCTACTTAAATTTCTTTTTAAAAACTCAATAGTTACTTCTTAATAATGAAATGTAATTCTGTCCTGTTCTCCTTTCATTCACCAAATGCTCTGCATTAATTGACCCAAGAGAACTTTCCTTGAAATTCTCCTCTGAATTCTGGGATTTCTGGATGTTTGAACTCTGTCTGTACTCATGTTTCATCTCCTTTTTCTATCTCTACTACTATCTTGATTATACTACTAGTTCCTCATCTTCTATTTCATCAACACAACTACTCAGCCCCCCCCGCCCCCAAATAATTGTCCCCTTTCTCAATACTCTCTTCTTGATGTAATTTAATCGAAAGGTTTCCACCTCTATGCTGATGATTTAAACCTTTAACCCTAGCCACAACATTTAGCCAGAGCTTCAAATTTGTATTTCCAACCCTTTGCTGGACAGCTCCATGTGGCTATTCCTCTAAATCTTAGTGTCTAAAAGCTAAAATTTTGATCTACAGTAAACTTATAGTTGTTATTTCTAATGACATCACTCCTCCTCAAATGTAAGGAGCCCTGATGGAGTAGTGGTTATGCAATGGGCTGCGAACCAAAAGATCAGCAGTTCAGAACCACCAATTGCTCCCTGAGAAAAAGACTAGGTTTTCTACTCCCATAAAGTGTAACAGTTTCAGAAACCTACTGGGGCCGTTGTACTCTGTCGTGTGGGGTTGCTCATGAGTATGGACTTGATGGCAGTGGGTTTGTTTTAGCTTGGTTTTTGGAGTCCTTCAAATGGTGGATCTTAAAATTCTAGATATCAGCTCCCATACCTGTCATAACTCCATCTTAAGCCTTTACTATTTCTCATCAGGCAGATCTTATCACTCTGTCAAAAGAATCTCTAATAGGAGTCCCCAGACTTTAACGAAAGGATCCAGACTTGGTTAATGAATTCCCCCCACCCCCATAAGCTGCCATCCAAAATAAAATGGCTTGCACAGTGAAATCGGACCATATAATTAGTCTTTTACTTAAAACTCTTCAAAAACTACCAACTCCTTTAGGATTAAGCTGTTCACTCTAGGGACTTCAGTCCACTTTCCCAGCCTCTTTTGCCTGAAAAGCTCTTTTCCACCTAATCCTCTCTAAGAATAAGGTGTTTGGTGTCTGATGTCACTTTCTCTTTGGAGCCTTCTCGAACCATTGCCCTAGGAGTTCATATGTACTTAAATGATTGATACTTTATCATATGAACACTTGTCTATACCTGCCTCCCACAACTGGCTTTGAAAACTGGAAAGATTTTTTAAATGAATCTTAGTGCCAGGAATAAGGTAACAAAAAAGGTGCCTTGGTAACTTGTAGATTAAGGGGAAATTCCCAGCAAAAGGGTATAACTTAGGTCAGCATTCCTAGTGATTCTCAAGGTTGGCACTGGGCCTTAGCCGGTTCTAGGCAGGGGATCTTTTTCCCAGGACCTCAGCTCTGGTACCTTTTACAAGACACCAGAATCAGGTGTTCAAGCTGACGCCAAGGCCCTGGGCTGGTGTCCCAGGAGGCGTTCTTTGGGTTTCGGCTGGCTCCCCACTCCAGACTCTAGGAAGGGAAAGGGGCGGGGCGCCGCGTGGGCTGGGCCAAGGGTTCCTTAACTCCCCCGGGGCCTAGACCAGCCCCTCTGTCCCCATTCTCGTGCGGGTCCTGGCCAATCAGGGTCCCAAGGGAGTTCCATCCTGAGAGCTCCCGCACCCCCGCCCGGCGCTCCGTCCACCTCCGCACTTACAGACCCCGGGAAAGGCCGCCGTCAGGATCCGGCACCGCTAGGAGCTCCGGCCCCTCGGGGCTCCGGGAAGGGGGGAGGGGCAGGGAACCCGAGCCAAAGGGGGACCCAACGGAACCGGAAGGGCAGCCCTCGCCGGACAAAGACAACTTCCAGGTCCCATGGTCTTCTCCGCCAATCGGAATGCTCGGAGGGCGACGGGCTCCCCGGGAGGTGCTCTCAGCGCTGTGGGCGGAGCACGCGCCGAGCGCTGGCCGCGGCTGCAGGGCAGGTGTCCCTGGTAGCTGGTAGTAGGTGCGGCGGTTCCATGGCGACGGGGCTCCGTGCTGACGTGCTCTGCCAACTGCCCCGGGCCCCGTTCTCAGCGGCTGCTCTAGAGCTGGACCTCTGCGTCTACTAACTGCGTGGGCCTCAAGGGCGCCTTCGCGCTTACGCCTCGGTAAGTCCCTCCCGTCTGGGGCTGTGGACTCACCGGGACGGGGGCCCGGAAAGCTGAAGGCGTAGTTACTTCCTTTGCTTTGGGGATTTGGTGTTTCCCAGCGATTCTGTCTCAGTGGTCACCCTCCTCCTTGTGCACTCTCTGCCTACCCGTGTCTTCGAATATTTCCTATGTGCTGACCATTCACAAATCTCTCTCGCCCCCAGACAGCTCTCCTGAGCTCTAGATCCTACTGCCTAGAAGACATCTTCAAATGGTTGTCCCGTTATTAATGTATCTCTCAATTATCTCAAGTTCATCACCAAACCTGCTTCTGATCTTCTGTGGATCTTGTTTTGGTAAATGTCATCTTCTACGTAGTCTCCAGAACCAGAAAACTTGAGTCTTGCTCTAGAGACATTTCCCTTCTTTTCCTCCCCAGTCCAATTGCTCACTGACAATTTCCTTTAAAAAACTCAAATCTTGTTTACTTTTTCTCTTTGTACCGCCGTAGTTTAAACCTTCCTTGTTTGGTAGCCTCCAAATTGTTCTATCTGCCCTGTTTTGCCTCCTCCACGGTTACAATGGACATTTTTAAAAAAACCAGAAATGCTTATCTGATGTCACGTTAGGGCACCCTCTTTCTATAGTTGGAAAGTAATTTTCCTTATTTTAGCCTTAAAGATCTTCCCGTTCTGGCTCCAACAACAACTCCATATTCTACCTCCATATATATTTGCTATATATTCTGAAGTACAAAGCTGTTCACTGTAAATGAGTGGAGCATATTTGAAAACGTATAAGACATTAAGATAAATAGTTTTAGTAAATACTGGAATGGGTTGTATAAAGTCTATATTACAAAAGGAGTGCACGATAAAAACAACTTGTCATCACTAGTTCTGTGGTAAACAGTAACATCACAAATGATGTGTTAACTTGATGCTATGTCTTGCATTTAATTAAGTAACTCGGAGTTTAACACAGCATCACAGATGGGTGCTATATTATGATGTGTGCCAACCCAAAATGTTGACTTGAGTCCATTGAGTCTTATGAAATTTTCAGTTCTGGGAAATTCAGGGTCCAGAGAAACTCAATGACCTTTTGGTCATTGAGATAGGAAAAATTTCCCTTAAAGCAGCCTGCCTCATCGATAAATCATTGTCTTTTAATTTTCCCTCTTAAGTACTAGATTTAAAAAGACTTAAGGGGACATAGCAGTCACATGGAATCCTGGGCTGGTTACTGATTGAGAAAGTCAGCTGTAAATATATTTGGGTAGACAAAACTTAGGTATTTGAAAGCCAAAATCAAACTCACTGCCATGAAGTCTATTTAACTCAGAGAGACACTATAGGACAGAGTAAAACTGCCTCCTAGGGTGTTCTGAATCTGTACATTTTTACGGGAGCAGAAAGCCTCATCTTTCTCCTGTGGAGTGACTAGTGGAGTTGAACTGCTAACCTTGCTGGTAGCAGCTCAACAAGTAACCAACCCACTATGTCACCAGTGTTTTTTGGTTAGGCATTAGATGAGAAGAAAACGACATGGTGCTGATTTAGGTGCTGATTTGGATTATATTCCTGATCAATAGAATCCAAAGGATATATTTGGATTGACAATTTTTAAATATGATCTAGAAACCAGAAGAGAGGAAAATTCACTGAAATGAAAAGGTAGCTTTTGTAGATGGAAAAATGCAGATTACTAAATTATATGATCTCATGTTGGAAAAAATATATACTCACACAGCAGGTATACACTAAAGTATTAGCAGTTATGATCTCTGGGTAGTAGGAATGTGTTTTCATTTTTTACTTGTCTGTATTTTCTATTTTTAAATAAGGTATGTACATGATTCTTCAATAAAATTTTTATTTACAAAAATGTTAAGATTGACAGATTTGGCATATGTGAATATATATGAATATATGAATGTATATATGAATCAAGAAATACACAAAAGAAGAATGGGAATTCCAGAACACTTCATTGTGCTCATGCGGAATGTATACATGGGGCACGAGGCAGCTGTGAGAACAGAACAAGGAAATACCGCCTGGTTAACAATGAGGAAAGGTGTGCATCAGACTTGTATGTTCTCGCCATACTTATTTAATTTGTACGCTGAGCAAATAATCAGAGAAGCTAGATTATATGAAGAATGATATCAGGATTGGAGGACGGCTCATTTACAATCTGTGATATGCAGATAACACAACCTTGCTTGCTGAAAGTGAGGAAGATGTGAAACATCTGCTGATGAAGATCAAGGATTGCAGTCTTCAGTATGGATTATAGCTCAATGTAAAGAAGACTAAAATCCTGACTAATTGACAGGTGACATCATGATAAATGAAGAAAAGATTGAAATTGTCAAGGATTTTGTCTTGCTTGGATACACAATGCTCATGGCAGCAGCTGTCAAGAGATCAAAATATGTTACATTAGGTAAATCTGATGCTCAAGCCCTCCTTAGAATATTGAAAAGCAAAGATGTTCCTTTGAGGACTAAGGTACTCCTTACTCAAGCAATAGTATTTTCAGTTGACTCATCTACCATGTTTCCCCGAAAGTAAGACATCCCCACAAAATAAGACCTACTTAACAGTTTTGCCTCTCCCTGAAATATAAGACATCCCCTGAAAATAAGACCTCCCCAAACATGAGGCCTCCCGATAATAAGCCACCCCCCACCCCCAAGCTACCATTAACTCTGGACTCTAGATGGTAGTGGCAGACGCCGCAGCGCAGCCGGAGCAGACAGGAAGTGTGCGAAAATGTACCACAGATTATGAGTAAATGTATCATAGATTGTTGTACATGGAAATAATGGTAGTAACAAGAAATTCTTGATACTGTATGATTCAGTTTGTCTGTGTATGCTGGTTTGTGATGACAACTACTACCGTACCGTTTACAGGTAATAAATTTCCTTTTTTGTTGTTCAACAACAACAACAACAAAAAGAAATACACAAAAGAATATAAACTATTAAAAATGTTATAGGGTGGCAGGATTCCCGGGGATTTGTACTTTTTTATAAACAATATTAAACACTTTATAATGTGTGTGGTAGTTATTATTTAACCATATTATGCCAAAAGAAACAAAAGCTATGAAGCAGACAAATTCCAAGGAGGGACTACAACAGCACACCTTTTTCTTAGTTTTTCCCTGATTGATTTGGATAAGTTATCCCCTAAAACATTTCAAATAACTCATTCATCAGGGTAAGAGCATATGCTATTTGAATAAAGGGAATGAGTAAGGAAAATCTGTTGAATTTCTAATTTATTAAAGGCCGAAGTAGTCATTATCCATGATTATTACCACCAGTAATCATGGTTTTTGTTATGTATATATCCATTCCCCCCAAATTACATTTTAAAGTCATGAAATACAGGGACTTTGTTGTTGTTAGAGGCCACATGGTGGGTTCCAACTCAGTACAACAGAATGAAACTGTCTGGTTCTGCACCATCTTCACCACCACTGCTATGCTTGCACCCATTGCTGGAGCCACTCTCCCTCCATCCCCTTCACCAGTCTAACTCTTGCTGACCCTCTACCAGGAATGATTTCCCGATAGAGACTAGTCACTTGATAACATGTCAAAAGTGGTGAGATGAAGGAGCATTTTGGTTGTACTTTTAAGACAAATTTGTGCTTCTGGCAATCCATGGTGTGTTCCTTATTCTTCTCCCAACATCATAATTCAAATGCATCCATCAATTTTTTTGGTCATACTCATTGTCCAGCTTTCTTGTGCATACGAGGTGATTGAAAATTCCATGGCTTGGGTCAGGCGTTTTAAGGACCAGGACTTTAAACAGCATGATACTGCTTTTACTCCATAATTCACTTTTGAATGAATTTTAATCAAATCTCAGCCCATATTCAAGTAACATTTCAAAACAACCTTGGGTCAGCTAGCTGTGCTGTAGACAGTTTTGACTTTTACATTCTAATCTGTAACTTAGGCCTGCTCCTTTGTAAGTCCAAGAAAATCATACAATTTCCAGAGGTTTGTGGTAAAGCCAAAATAAGATCCCATAAAAGGACCTAACACTATTCCTGTCACACTGTGAAGTTCCACTTTCCAAACAGCACTTGGTGAGCATTGAAAGATGAATCTCTGCCCCATCACCGACTACACTCTTTGGAGCGGTAATTCTTTTGAGGTTCAGCAGGTAGCCGAACCCAACTGAGCCCTTACTTACTGGCGGCCTTCTAGCCAAGTGCTTGTCACAGTTACTTTTAGTCGCCCCGATGTCTTGCAGACTGCAAGCTCCACGCAAGCGCAAAGGAGCTAGACGGTCTAAAAACCGAGGCGGAGTTTCGAGGAAAAGAGGGCCCGCCTCTTCCTCCTCGCCTGCTTTTGGTCCAATGCAGCCTCTCGACTGAGTTGCTGCCCTATGAGAGAGGGCAGGGGGCGGGGCGGAGAGCGGAAGAAGCCTCCCTCACGTGAGAGGAGGGCTGAGGGGCGGGGGGAGGAGGCGGGGGGAGTGTGGCTCTGGAGGCTAAGGCGGCGGAGCCTCCGGGACGGCTAACGGCAGACGGCGGGACGGGTAGGGCAGCGTTTCACCTCTTCTCCCCCACCCTCCAAACCACCAACCTTT